TTTTCTCAAAATGCTACTTTTGTCTATACTTGTTTTGAATAACTCCACCATTTTTCATCTAATCTTCATGAATTTTTCACAGAATGAAGAGAAGAGGTAGTGCAAAATATTTGTCTGTTGAATTTTTTATATATGAAATACATTTTTGTTGGTGGTGTCTGGAGTGTGGATTTTCGCGGATTTTTCGCAAACTTGAATGCTACCTCAGGAAAAAATTCATTAAGGGGTGGTGCTGTAGTTTGAAAAACAAGTTTGGGACCAAATTACACAAAATGAGATAATTACATTTTAAAATTCCTGGACATGTTCTGAAAAATATCTAGAAAGTACACACGCCTCCCTGCACCCTAAAGTGGTGTTTGGGGAATTTTAGAGCGTAGGGTCAAGTCTCTTTTAGAGAAAATATTTGCCAATTTTGTCCAATAAAAAGCATTCTATTTTTTTCACGGTTTATACTATTTTTCTGCTCTAACTCGATTTCAATAAAACTTTCACACAATATTGAAAACCATACAAATCTAGCTTTTTGTAAGAGGAATTACTGATAAATGGGTTTGTTCTTAATCTGTGAGCTTGAAAAGATGGATTTTTCCAATTTTTTCGCTCTTTCTCTAGAGTCGGATTTGAAGGTGCCATAAAATAACAACTAAAGTAGATACAAACAATTCCTCTTACAGAAAGTTTTATCTTTGTCTTATAAGTGTGCATGCTAAGTTTGAACCTAATCTGTTGGAAAATAAGGTGAGCAAATTTGACCACATAATGTCTCTAAAATCCAATATGGCCGCCGTTTCCATCGTAACCGAATCAGTAAAATTCTGTTTGACTACTGCTAATAAATCTCCATTGCCATATAATCGTCCACACCAAATATAAGCTCCATAGGAGTGGTATTAGCTGAGATAGACTTATTCTACAGCACCCCCTCTTAAAAATTTTCTAATTCGATTATGAAAAAAACAACAAACATATTTGTAGATCTAATGTTTGTAAACACGCATGCAAAAAAACTATTAATTTCCATTAGTGATAAGTGCGGTATTCATTACGTAAGACATGTCAATAAAATCCAATATGGCGGCGTATCCATGGAAACAAATTTTTTTTCTCAAATTTGATTGCTGATTTCAAGACTCCTTTCTATGCTTGTTATATGTGTGAAAT